ACGACCGGGCAGTTAAGTAGTACACTCCCTCAGGTCTGTATAAAATGAGAGCATGTCCTTCTCGAACTTAAAAGTCTTAACTCTTTCTGCAATATTTTCACCCCTGTCGCGCTCAGCTATGGAGACAGAAGGGATGGAAGCTAAACTGATTTTTTATCCTTTACTTTACTCTTTTGTTTTCAAAGGTGTTTGGTATACCGGACGAAAGGCTCGGCGAAGTGGTTTGCGCAGCCGTAAAGACCGTAAAGAATTCCAAGCTCGACGAGGAAGGCGTAAAAAATTTTTGCCACGGCCACGTGAGTCATTTATTGTTATTAACTATTATCTCAACCGGGGAACGAGAGTGGTTTGAATAGCATAAACGTGCGTTTTATGTACTGATTGCAGATAACCAGATTCAAAGTGCCCATCCACTTGATGATCGTGGATGACTTCCCAAAAACGGCTTCTGGTAAAATTCAGAAATTCAAACTCCGCGAAATAATGATTAACCATTTGAACGAATAGCAAATTTTTCATTAACACTACTACTGCCAGTATGGTATCGAGTACCGTGTTTAATTTACACACAGTAGTGTTTAGGATCTATGGCTTTTGTTAAAATATAATAATTGTATTATGTAGAAGAAACTCGAGCAACTCATGGTTATATATAATGAATTAAAATTCATGGCTAAGGGTTTAAAAATTTCAATTTATTAATTGTATTATCTAAATGACTTTGTCGTACATGACTAACCGTCCACATATATAAAGAGTAAATTTGAATTCTGACCGTTATTCGATTTTTTTTTCATGATAATAGTTTATGGTGCACACGTCCTTTTTTTGACGTTGCGTTGCCTCAGCGGTACCGCAAAAATTAGAGTTTTTTTAAATATACTTTTTAAAAATTTTTAAGAACTACATTTTCAATCCATAAAGTTTTCGGAGATTGTAACCGGATGTGTCGGTTGAAAGTTGTGTACAGAAGTATAATACACCCAAATGTTTTTCTAACACTAGCTGAAGTGGTTGGTGATGAGTGTCGTCTAACTAGTATAAGCAAAAAAGTACACGCAGTCAATTGCATTGGGGATGACCAATTAGAAACATATCAGTAAAACGTATTCACTTGTTTCTTAGTAATTGTAATTTAAACCATTTATCTTAGACATTAACTCATAAAAAAGTTTACGGCACTATTGTTATTATATTTAAAAAATTATTCCATACCACATTGGTATCCGAATCATCAAATTTAATGAGTCTTATAATAAACCGTTTTACTTGTGATTATAAAATCATTTATTTTAATCATCTTCTTTAATGGCTAATTATAATCAATTAAAGCCCTATGACTGAATCACTAGTCTTCATAGTTTATAGTTGCCTTTTTTCGAAATTATTTACTTATAGAAAATTTAGGTCATTATGTTCTCTATTGTGCATTCTTTGGAGTAATCAAGCACACATTTTTTTTTTAAAAAACTAAAATTAATTACAACTTCATTATTATTTAAAAATTGTATTTACATTTAAAAAAAATAAATACAAAAATCCTTTTTGAAATGTGTAACGTTTAAAAATGATTTGTGCGGATATTTTGGAAAAGTATAATGACCCACAAGATCTGAATCCATTTCAAGACTTTAACAATTTGAAGTGCAACATCCTATCTGCGATAGGGGATGGGGATGTCTTAGCTCTGGCACATAAACGAAAACGCGTTACGCTCTTATCTAACAAGAGATAATAGATATGTTTTATTCACAACGGTCAAAATAGACCTAAATAATAAATTCAAAATAGTTTAAGAGGTCATATTCCTATGCAATGTTTTAGGCCAGATTTTATGAAAACATTAAAACATTAGCCAGAAACTTGATATGTTTACCAGGCCCCTCAGATACCTCAGCTTTATCTATAATTCCACCACTATAGTCATAACACAAATATCAAATTTAAAGACGACGTCTGCAAGTCCTATATATTATGCCACACATTGGCTGGGTTTTTACAAGTGATTTTATCGCAAATGAAAATATATATTTGTTTAGATGAATACTTCTTCTTTTTTTTTTCTAGTATTTGTATTCAATTCGTATGCATAGCCCACAATTATATGGTGTTTTATGTTATAAAATAAATCTAAAAAGTAATTTAAACAAATTTCAACAAAAGACTTTGACATTATGTTTAGACCTAAATATTTTAATGAAAGAAAAAAATCCAGCAGGTCCAAAAGTTAAATTTGATAAAAAAATTCATATTTCTTAAAATCTATATTATACACAAATAACTTGCACATCCGTTGATTCAGTATAGATTATATGATACGTTATAGCTTGTGAAACACTTGTATACACAAAAAATGTTATCGACACAATGTTTTTCGAAATCGAAGGAGACCACCAAAAAATGTACATATTATTCCACTGAAATTTACGATGTTCTATACATTTTTAAAAAGAATCAAAATTTTAATGGAATATTCTTTAGACAAAGTACTACCGTGCGTTGTCAAACTAAAAAAGTAACATAAACCTATTCCCCTAGATTGGGTGAAATCTTTTTCTTTATTTCGCATTTTTAGTTTTAAGACTAAGGTTTTTTTATTAAAGAAAAACTAAGAAAAAAAAATGTCACTTTGACCTTGGTCAATTTGTGAGAATCATTAGTCAACCGAGAATTGAATAATTATGGCAATAAATTGGTATAGACAAACGATCAACCCTAATCGTATTCACCCTAACAATAAAAATACATTTTTTAGGTTCGATGTATGTGTTGACACCTGTACATCTACTATTAAATTATCACATCAAAGAGTTCATTTTAAAAGTGATGTTATCAGTTTCAGTGGTGAAAATTCATATAGATCTATGACCCTGTAATATGCTTTGTGCCTCAATCTCATTTTACCTTCGTAATTTGCATTATATTTTTATAGAATTGCCCTCAAGTATTATTTTTTGACAGGTTGACAGTATTCTCGCATCAAACATTTTTTTAGAATTTTGTACACAAAGTTATTTTAATATATTTTTGTTCATTTGCCGTTTTCATTATTCACTAACGTTAATAATATATCATATATTAATAACGTGTAAAAATTACATAGGTACAATGATTATTATGTATACCATGTCTGTAATTTGTACAAATGTATTTATTAAAAATGTAATATATTTTATTTTATGGATTAATTATCAATTGAAGTCGAGGCAAATTGGTGTCAAAGCATATAAGGGACGGGAATGTCAAAGATATTTAGGAGTATATTATTTTATTTGAAATTGATATGCCATTTTCAAACAAACGATTCGTTTTGAAACTTTGGATTCAAAATAGTTATATTTAATTTACACTTTTTAAAATGCCCTGTTTTTCTTTAATAAAAAAATACTGCGGTATGTTAAAGGATTTGATGAAATTTAAATTTGAGGTTATTGTAGGTAGGGTCTTACCACAAAGTTACAAATCTCAAGGTTAAAATTGAATAATTATGAAATTTTGTTTTGGGTTTTCCTGATTTTGAGGATGAAGGATCGATTTTTTTAGCATTGTAGTAAATGTCATATTTTATACTTAAAATAAATGGTTGTAACGTGTCAAACCAATTTGTCATTTTAGTATTTTTGAATGTATAAAACTATTGTTCACGATTTGTTTTTTGTTTTCCATAAATGTGAACACTTGATTACATTGTTATAAGTATATTAATGTGTACCGTGTGTGAATTTGAAATGCATAACACAGAAAATCTTAAATTAATCGTTTTAACTGTAATTCTTAAGAAGTATTTTAAAATTTGAATATTTTGCATTTCTAACTTGAAAATTACGTCGCTCAATTAATTTTAAAAAATAGTCAAATAAGTTCTAAATTTGTACCGAATTTTTGTCCTTTACACGCGAAAAATTGTACGACTTGATTTTCAAAATCGAGAAAAACATCCGATAAGTTTACATAATTTTTTACTTGTTATAATTCTTATAGACCTGTGACCCCCCTCTAAATATTCTCCAATACCACTATGCCTTGTACCCGCTGTACTGGCTTTTCTAGATGTCCTTTTGTTTTTAAACTATATAAGACGTATTTTTTTTTTCTTCTTTATAATTTTAACTTAAGTCGTTACATTTTAAATCGTTATACGATTGTGGGACACTTGTATACACACAACTGGTTTAACACGCATCTTGCTGTCAAGAGAATATAGTCATAACACAAATATCAAATTTAAAGACGACGTGTACAGGTCATATATATTATGGTACACATAATTGTTGGCTGGGTTTTTACACGTGATTTTATTTAAAATAAAATAATATTTTTTTAGATGAATATTTAAAAAAATACCTTTAGCATTTTCAGATAAATGTATCGAAACATCTGTGTGAAAAAAACCTAAAATAGGAGGATTGATTCGAGATTATTGTCAACTTCTTAAAATATACGAAATCTGCGAAAAACACAGTTTTGAAGGAAAACCGGCATTTAAGAAAATCTGTAGTGCCGTATTTTTCTTCGTTTAATAGATTATAGACACATATGAGTTATAACTACTGACAAATTCGCTTTGCATCGAAGCCAAAACATTTTTCTGGTTTTTTGTGTAAAAGCGGCCAACCCCATCCCCATCACAACCACATTTCCATCTATAAAGTGGAGAACGTTTCATTATACACGCTGTAATCAATGTATAAAAAAATATATATTAATTAATTTATTTATTGTGTCTGGAAATTGTAACAAATAGTACGGTTATTTTCTTGTACGCGTACAGAATATTTAAACCAGAGGCCCAAATTTAGATTTCAAATCGATAATATACGTTAGATTTTATTTTATACTATGAACTTTATTCCTATGAAATACGAAAGTATGTTACAACAAACGATAAAGTGTGTAAAAAACACATATCTAGTAAACCTATTCATTTTTGGTATTATTTACTTTAAGTTCGTATCGACATGAAAAAATGTACTAATGTAATTATTCATATTCTAATATATTTCATTTAAGGTCATAATTTTTGAGTTTTGTATAAATGTTAACAACATATGTGTAACAGCCCACAGACTGTGTTCGAAAATAAAAACCATAGTCTAAACATTCCTTTACACCTGTATAAATAAAATATATTCACGCACTGCAAAACTTATTTCGATTTAACTTTTTCAAGGACAAACCACAAACCGAATCACTATAAAACAATTGATTTAACATAGTTCACTTAGTTCTACCAGATTTTCAAAGCTAGTAAGTACTAAATGCACTTTTATTAAGTTTTTTGTATTTATTATTTTTTTTATTTTCGTGTTTAGGGTTTCGATAAACTTTTAACCACTAGGCTAATTTCATTAATAATATAGTACAGAAATGATACACCGTTTTGTGTTGATCAGAAATCGAACCTAAAATTTGCATCTTTAGGCCCAATATTTAAAAAGTTTCATTCCAAATCAATCAGGACAAATAATAATAAAAATAAGTACAATATGTTTCATTTCAAATACGAAAAACTATGTAAAACAGTTTTTTAAAATTTTATATGTTAATGGGCCACTTGCATTTATTAAGGCTCATTGAATATAGATAATTTTTCACTAAACTTAACATAAAGCTAACATTTTTAAACATACATATTACCATGGGAAAGAAGTATAAGAAATTCTTATTTTCTTTTCTTTTTATTTTTGTGTTTAGATATACAATTATACCTAACCTAACCTTTCCGATTATATTAGGAAGTGAATAGGTAAGATAATTTCATTTATAACATATCACAACAATATTACACCGTTTCAGTCGTATAGCATGACTTTAGATCAGAAATGGAACTTAAAATGTGCCTCAATTGGCACAATATTTAAAAAGTTTCATTCAAAATCAGAAAAATAATAAAAAATATTTTATTATAACCATTTTATCTAAGAAGACATTTTATCTTGAATCAGCTTCGCATCTAAGGCAATAATTAATTAAAGACTATGTCTAATACAAAAAGGCTTTTATTTTTATTATTGTTTGCAGATAAAAATGAGACGTTTTTGTTTTTTATTATCATTCGTTGTGGTAAATGTTTTAGCAGTTATAGATTTTGATAAATTATATGGTAATTATTTTTTTTTTTTATATTTAACACTTGCCTACTCGAGGTAATTAAAAATCATAAAATAATTTAATGATTAACTTTTTACAGGTGAACTTGTAGAGCAGGCTCAATTAACAAGTTAGTAAATTTATTTTATCATAAAAATGTAATTCTAATTTTAAAAATTGGCATATATTTATTTTAATTTTTTATTACAGATAGACAAATCCGGCGGGTGTCATGTCGTGATGGTATAACATACACTTATTGTTAGAATTTATTAGTTACTTCAACTCATTATTTGTTTATTCTAGTGCGTTTGATACCGGTAATTAGAAAATTTGTTCTTGCAGATAAACCGATGAGTAATTATAATTATTAATGTATTTGAAAGTATTAGGTTAGTTACACATCTCTTATACATTTATGTTATGCACATTTTAGGTGATTTGGCGTTAATGTTTGTTGGACCATGTAATAATTTTTCTTAAATATAAGAACGTGTCTGCACATAGTAGTTTGATATTAAGTATAAAATGTTATGGTTAAAGTTTCAGGTGTATTATCTCAACCAAATCACGACGATGAAATACTGCAACGTAATTACTCTTATAAATTTTAAATGTAGAATCTTTTCATGTATATTATTCATGCATAATTTTTTTTTTTTTTTTTAGATGCCATAGATTCCGAAATCGAATTACAAACAGCTATAACAACCGGGTTAGGTAAATATAAAAATTTGTAAATCTACAATTTCAAAAATGATAGTTATTTTTTTCTAAGCAAAAAAAATGAAAATTTTATTTAAGTTCTTATATCTTAAAGCTTTATGTTTTCTTACTAAAAGTTTAAATGATTGTTCGAAGTATAATAATTATTCAAACGGCTAATACTAGTCTAAATAAATGTAATTTAGTAGTGTTATAAATTTAATATAAAATTGGATTTTATTTTCTGTATAATTATTTAATGTTTTTGTTACAGGTGTCCCTGTTCCTGACCAAAGTAATATATTAGTCAAATAATAAGTGCCAATAGGTTTATAGGTCCACTATAACTTCATATAAAACAAAATAAAGATAAATGCACTTAATTGATTAGAAGAATGTATTATGCTTTAATTATTCAAATTATATCATAAGCAATATACTTTGAAAGTTTTTCTTGTGCTTTGGAAAATTTGTTCATAATAGATTTTACAACCGTAGGTATTAGCGTTTTAAGTTGTAACCGTCAGTCAAGACATATGTACACCATCCCAAATTCAGAAACTAAATTTTAATAAAAACCATCTGCTATCCATTTGCTTGCTACATTTTAAGATAGTGTCGACATTTATTATTAAATAATGATGATTATTAAGTTGTATATTTTGTTTTCATTTGTGCCGATATTATTATTTGATACTTTTTAGTATCTTAATTTATAATTTGTTTTTATTAGATAGACCTATAGGTCGAATATGTACTGCAATGAGAAATCTATGTCGTCCACGTGAACCGCAGAATTCGGAGGGTAGCTGTTATTATAATTATATAAAACATAAACATAAAGCTTATAAAACTGTATCAATTGTGTTAAAAAAATATTATCGTTGATTTATGCAAATCAATCAGTTGATATATTGTTGCTTAGCGACATTTATTTTAATTGTAAAAAATAGAAATAAATTATTCAATGGCATATGTGAAACAAACTTTGCTATAATTTTAAAACATATTACTTAGGACTTAAAAGTAGTGAATATTTACAAGGCATATATTTATTTAATTATTACTCAAGTATAGGAAGATTACTTACTACTAGTTCATCATAGGAACAATTGAACAAAAACTTAATTGTACTACGTTAATAACTCGAGTAAATATATTATTTTTGTATAGAATTTTTGTAATCAATACGGTTTATTATTAAATTGTACAGATATTCCATTTGTGGATCTGAAACTTCAAGAAGAGAGAACAAAGCTATTCCGTGATGCTACAAAACTATTTATCAGTTCTGCATTAAGTAAGTATCATATCAAATTGCAATAGTATTGCCTGTGTTAATTAAATTAAAAAACAGAATTACTTTGAGGAAGGAGTTAAAGTGAAAATGTTGCAAAGGAATAAATATTTTTTTTTTTATTACTATTCAGCCAGTTAAGTGCTGACAACTTTTAAATACGTCTAAACCAATTTTCACAATATGTCTACCCTAATTAAATAAATATATATTTGTATATTAACACTTTTAATCTAAATATGACGACTATGGGAAGTTGTTTTTGGTGTATTAAATTGTAAGATAGTTAAATCAATAATTAAAATAAATAAATAAATAAATAATTTTTTATATCTTATTCAAACTAAAGTTACGTTTTATAGCCAATACTTAAAGCATTTTTTAAGCTTTAGTAATATTCCTTGCTTATATACATACATATATAAAATTATGATTTTCATATATATTAAAAATATAGCCAAGACAAAAATTGTTAAAATTTATATTTGTTAAGATAAGAAGAATGTTCTCATCATATTTTTTCAATTATTTTGGACATGGCCGTATCATTTTTTTTCTCGACTGTTTGTTTTTATCGTATTTTCGATCTTCAAAATAATTTTTAAAAATAATTTTCATATATTAAGTAATCTTAGCTCTATGGAAAAAAAATGTACAAAGGTGTTCAGCCGAGTCTGCAACCTCGAAAGAGCATTTTTATGTCTCGTTGAAGTACCGAATAAATTTAGAGTAGTGGTGGAATTATAGATAATGATATACTATCTTAACAAGCGGTAACAAGCTAGTATATTAAAACGTCAAGTTTCTGGCTAAAATTGTAGTGTTTATTATCTGGCCAAATGTAACTTAACATAGAGAATTAAACTATTTTAAATTTATTATTTAGTTCTAATTTGAACGTTGAACGTACAACATATCTCTTATCTCATATCAGATAACAGCTTAACGCTTTTTTCGGTTATTCGCCACAGCTAAACACAGTTAAACTATAACTCTATTTAATAGTTTTCTACTCGAAAAAACAAATAAGTAATTTTTTTACATATAAAATTGGTTTTAAAAAAAAATGTTGATGGCCACCTTCGACAATCAACATTGTTTTTAAGCAAAGAAAAATATTATATTAAAATCTGTTCAAACTAAAAGTAGCTTTTTAGTGATGTCGTTTTATAGAAAAGGGATAAATTAAGCATTTACTTTGATAAAAAATATAAGTTCAATTTTTTTTGATATTTTAATTATTTTCCTAGTTTATATAAATAAAACTATGGTTGTTTTTTAAAGGTGTATTTTAAACAAACGGTATGACTAATAAATTGCGATACTCGAGGTGACCAGTCTATTTTATCTCCATTTGAAAATGTTATTTTCTTAGAGTAACAAAGCTGTACCATACGGATCATCTGTATATAGCATTGATCACGTGTATTAGTTATTCCTTATACACTGAATAAATGTACTAACTAGCAAGTTAAACTTGGCAAATTTTTTAAATATGCCTTTTTTATTTTTTAAGGACCAGCCCACGAAGACTACAGAAATTATAACCTGATGTGTCGATTAAAAGGTGTATACAGAAGTATATTAGGCCCAATAGGTACTTATGTAATGTCAGCTGAAGTTGTTGATGATGAGTGTCGTCTAACTGATAGTCTCGGAAAAACAACCACTGTCATTTGCATTGGGGATGACATTGGAGATGACTATTTAACAAAAAATCATTAATATAGTAAAAAGTATTCACTTGCTCATTAAAACATATACAGTACTATTGTTATTATATTTGAATAATTATTCCAAACCATATTTGTATAAAAATTATCAAATTTAATATATCTTTCAATAAACCGTTTTACTAATGTTTATAAACTCATTTGTTGCTTTTTACCTGTACACACATTCGATTCGAAGTGGTTTTGTAAATAGTTTTATTTTTTTTTAATCATCCTCTTTAATTACTTATTATAATCCATTCAAGTCCTATATCTAAACCACTAGACTTCATAGTTTAGCCTTTTTTCAAAATTATTTATTTAGAGCAAATTTAGGTAATTCTGTTCTCTTTTGTGCATTCTTTGGAGTAATCAAGCACACATGTTTTTTGGAAAAACTAAATATAATTACAATTTGATTATTATTTAAAAATATAATTAAAAATTCACAAGTTCTGGATCCATTTCAAGACTTTAACAACTTGAAATGCAATACTTCACGACTTTTTTCTATTCTGCGATTTTGGAAGGTATTATAATATTTTAGTTTAGACTCAAGACTAGTTTATTATTTGACCGAAAAACCACAAATTCAAGTAACTCAATATTACAAGAATCTAAAAACTTATGCTTTGCAGTGAATTTATCAACTAAGTTTAATGTATGAAAGTAAATTTTATTCTGTACTAGAAAAAAAGATTGTATTATAATTTTATAATATAATACTATTTCGATTTGCTCGACTTTTAAATGTTTTAAATTTTCGGTTAATCATTATGTGTACATTAAATTCTTTTGGGGGAAAAAATGTTAAGCAATTTGTAGAATTTAGAAATAAAACAAATATTCTCGATAATGTTAAGGAGAAACGTTTTTTTGTTTTGGTAACGGCGCAATAAATAGGCAAAACAAGTATATGCATGTAAACTGTAAAGTGGAACCAGAGTAAAACATTTTTACAATAACAACTGACCGGAGTGAAAAAAATATTATATTTGTAAATTGAGTGAATAAAATATAATGACATTTAATGTTATTAATTATGAAGAAAGTATCGACAGCAGTCAAGATTAATCATAAAACTCATTTTTAATAATTTAAGCACATTACTAAAATATAATTACTGGTACGCATGTTATTATGTATTGTAATTAACAATGTTTAAACTATTAAATAATTGTATTATTTGTTTTCATTGTAGTATTACATACTTTCGTTTTTGTGATTCTTATTATGTACAAGAAATAGCAAGTAGCTGTTTTTGTTATTTCCATGCTGGGAGTAAATAGTGATGTGCGATCATTTCCCTCTCAGGTTGGCGATTACTGTCGGATCGAGTTGAAATTTATAAGGAATATTTGAAAGTGATTTTATTCAATTTTATCACTTTTATTTATAATCACTCCTGTAGACCCGCGACCTGTTCGTGCCGCCTATGCTTTGATTCTATTAAGCCTATACTCTACTGTACTAGTGCTCTCGGATAAAATCACTTTCAAATTAACGCTTTGATGCTTATTTGTAAATACAGCACCTCAATTTAATACTTTCTAACTTTGCTGGCTTACACTGTGCTTGGTTTGGACTGTACTGGCTTAAAAATACCAACTACCGATTTGAATCGAAGCCGATTTTCGAAAGTGATTTTATCACTTTCAGATTTAAGAATTCCTGTAAACCTATGACCTCCCCGTCCTCACGATGCCCTGTCCCCATGATGCCCTGACCCCACTGTACTGGTTTCTTATGAAGTAATGTTACTCGACACAAAATTTTGAGTTTAATTAATGCTGATTATTACCTTCTTCAAAGATTCCAAGTAAAAAGATATAATCGTTTTTAAAATGGTTTATTGTAAGATACATTACATTTTATAATGTGAATGTAAATGTGATTTAGAATAATTATTTATATATAATAAAAATAGTACTGTATAATTTTCAATGAGTTTATCTCTAAGATAAATGATTTAAATTATAATAACTGAGAAGCATTGATGACACCAATGTCATCCCTAACGCAACTGACGACGATTGTATTATTAACATTGTCGTTATCCTCATCAATATAGGCATTATATGTTATACGACACTGATCACCATCAACTTCAGCTTGTGTTACAGTAATATCTTTTTCTAATATATTTCTGTATATACCTTTCAATCGACAAATCAGATTACAATTTCCGAAGTTTTCATAGCCTGGTCCTTAAAAAATAAAAAAGGTATATATAAAAAATTGCCAAGTTTAACTTACTAGTTAGTACATTTATTCAGTGTGTAATGCATAAACAATACACGTGATGAATGATATGTACAGATGATCCGTATATTACTCTAAGTCAATAACTTTTTCAAATGGAGATAAAATGACTGGACACCTGGTGTATCGTTATCAATTAGTCATGAAAATTGTATAAAATACACCTTTAAAAAGCAAACCAATATTTTAATTATATAAACCAGAAAAAATATTAAAATATCATAAAAGTTGAATTTATTTTATTTATCAAAGAAAATGCCTAATTTATACCTTTTCTATAAAACGACATCACTAAAAAGCTACTTTTAGTTTGAACAGGTATAATATAATATTTTGCTTTACTCTGCGTTTTTATCGTTTTTTCAAAGGTACTTCAAACAATGTTGATGGTCGATAGTGACAAACTTCTGAAAAAATACTACTCAAATTCTGGTTAACATTTTAGAATATAAACTCAATTAAATAATTTTCTGTTACTCGAAAAAACATTAAATATTTTTTCAGAGAGCTAATATTACTTTAAATATGAAACTGATTTTTAAAAAATTATGTTAAAGGTCAAAGATACTTTAAAAAAACGATAAAAACAAACAGTAAAGAAAAAGTTAATATGATCCTGTCCAAAATAATCGAAAACAAATTTAAGAACATTCTTCTTATCTTAACATAGATCAGTTTTAAAAAAATTGTTATGATTATATTTGTAATATGTATATATGAAAAATTACAATTTAATATATTCAATTACCTATATAAATAAATAATATTATTAAAGCAAAAAAAATTTAAGTAACCTTACTATTTAACGTTATTTTTAGTTATTAGTGTTGCCGTATAAATTGTCACGGCACAAAACCTAGGTGTATTTAGCAGGCTTGTCTATGCGATTTTGTTTACATAGCTGGTTTCTTTTTATGTTATAGTTGACACATATTTACAATACTCGACGGTG